CAAAATAAAAAAACGTGTCATAAGAGTTTCAAAATCTTCCAAATTTTACAGCTAGGTTTTGCTAAAATAAAATAGCAAAAGGACATAAAATTTGCTGCTCCCTCACAACACCCCACCCCCTCTAATTACGGGGTATGGGTAGCCTACAATTGGCACTGGGTTTTAAGCTTTGTTTTCAATATTACTCTTCTCACGTGACTCACTTTTTACGAACTAAAGAGGGGTGCCTGAAAAAACGTCTGCCTTAAGTATAGTTTATTTTAATTTGATGCGCCTCATTAAACAGAAAAAGTAAAATAGGATTTTACTGGGACTCAAACTCGGATCTCCGCTGTCACTGCCCATAGCATCATCCACTCAGCCAAGCGATCTCTTCAATATTGCAAGATTTAATTATATTTAAATTTGTATTTGTATATATTTAACGATGTTTTTTAAATTGGAATCCTTTGCCGCTAACAAAGGCCTTTGGGGTCGTATAAATACTTTATACATTTTTCACCCCCGCCTACTTTTTTTTTTTTAATACAAAAATTTATTTAAATAAAAAAGGTGGAGGAGGTACCCTAGATACTTTTAAAGTATCTAGGGTATCTCCTCCACCTTTTTTTTTTTTAATGGGGGGAGGGGTATATGAAAATGTACGTACTTTTTAAGGGGGTGGGAAATTAAAAGTACGCATGGCAACAGGGGGGAGGGGGTATCAAATTTCAGAATTCTTGGCGTACGTACTTTATGGACAACCCTTAAGTTAGAATTTTTATTCTAGTTAGTAAGTTACAAAAGGCTTATTGAATTTAATCAATTTTTATATTTTCAAAAAAAAATTTTATATCTTCAAAACAATAAAAAATGATACTATAATAAACATAGAAATTCTATATATTCTATTAGATATTTCAGCAAAACTAAAAAATACTTTTCAAAACTATTAAAAGAGCTTTTAATATTTTTGAAAAGTATGTTTAAGCATAATTTCATTTAATAAAATTGCAAACGCATTTAATTTAAGAAAGAAAATAAGAAGATTTAAATGAATAGGAACGCTTTTGAAGAAAGCAATCATAATGTTTAAGCATAATTTCATTTAATATAATTGCAAACGCATTTAATTTAAGAAAGATTTTGGGTGCTTTTGTAAACGCATGCAAAAACTATGCTAAAACATTAATTACTACCTTCAATAGCATACATAATTAATTTACTTAAAAGTAATGCTATTGAAGAAAATAAGCATAGTTTCTTTAAAAGTCTTTGAAAATGCACTTTTTAAATTTAAGTAACTACTGTTTTTTATTTTAAATATATTTTTTTTATTATAAATATAAAACAATCACATAATTATTTGGAAAAAAATATGTTCAAGTATTGCGCTTATATAGAAAAATTTAAAGGATATGATATAAGTAAAGAAATGTGAAGTTCGTAAAGTTGGTAATAAATAAACACTCACTTATGTCTCTCATTCCTAGTAACAAGAATTTGTTATCGCCAAGGTTACTGGGTTCAATTATACATAGCTCCAAAAGTTTTGTCCTCTGAGCTATATCATCTGGAAGGTGAAACAATTGGCCTGCATTATCATCTCTGAGCTATATCATCTGGAAGGTGAAACAATTGGTCTGCATTCAAAAGATAAAAAAGGGAAAAGAGTGCTAGTATTTATTAAAGTTTTTTAAAGACTCTTTCCCCACCATAATTGATCAGGACCTATTCTAGGAAAAAAAATTTGGGCGGCCATACCCCCTCGTTCCGGCAAACTTTAGCAGAAAAGCGGCAGTTTTTTTGCAAAAATAACAATATTTGCCATAAAAAAAAAAGGTCCTCAAGTTTTAATTTGGGCAGCACCCAAATACTGTCGACGCTGTCGAAAACAGTTTAGAATAGCCCCTGTTGATATTAAGACTTTTGTGCAAATGTAGAAAATCTCTATCAAGTATAACTTGTTTGCAAGAATTGGGTATAACCAAAAAATATATATCAAGTACTCTATACTAAATAAAGTGAATTTAGCTAATACTTTACCTATAACTTGACAAAGATAAGGATGGATCAGCCACTGAGATTCTTTTATTGGAAAGGAGTATGTTAACTTTTCTTAGAAGCAAGTTAGTTTTAATTAGTTCCATAATGATTTGCTTATAAATGTGTCAGAGTTTCCAGTGTCAAGAAGAGCTCTTACCTTGGCCCTTGTAATAAAGATATAAACAATAGAATTGAGAGAGTTCATAGAAGAGCAAGTAATGGAGGCTAAACTTGGTGCATAGAAGTTGGCACCAGCTAATGTGATAAAGTTCTTTGATGATTTGCATACTTTCTTGAAATGTCCTTTTTTCCACAATTGCTACATTCTGCGCTTCTGGCAGGACATAATTTTTGAGGATAATATTTACTTTCACAAAAAAACAGCCCACTAAGCTTAGTAGAAGGCAAAGCAAGCTCAGTTTTACATTCAGAATCTTTATTAATTGTAGCCACAATACTATACTCTGAGTGTGAA